GGTTTTGCTAAGTACCATAAGATTTCATTTTATCTCCATTTCAGTTCAGTGTTGATTTAATTGAAATATGGGAAGCCAAGGAGGCTACAGACCACTGGAGGGATTACCATACTGTAGTATATGATGAATGAGAATGAATCCACCCAGACTCTTTCACCCTGTTTTAACAAAATTATGCAAGAGGACCACATTCCTTCTCCTTTTGAGAATTTTGTTGACATTCTCTCCTCTTTGAAACAATTTCTCTCTCGCTAGTAAGAGGATTTTTTTTACCCATCATGATTAAATCTTTCTGGAGGTTGCAGCTGAACTTTGCTCAAGCAATGTGGTCTGCTTGGTATTCCTTACTTGCTGATGCTGACTCCTATCTTTTTTTTCACTCCAGCCCTGTAGGCTGCCTCTAAATACTAATTACCCTGCCGTTTTAGTTTCTGGCTCCTACACTTGATCTCTGCTTCTGACTAGCATTCTACGTCATCTAGGAATATTTGGGAAGCAAGGCTAAACTGATCTCTTTGTTGGTCACATTTAAGAATGTGCTAAAATCTGGCTTACTTAGCTACTGTTTGTTACATTGTCCTCTTGTATGTGTGTGTTGTGTATGCACGTGTGTGTGGATGGCTTACAACAGTGGTTCTCAACCTGTGGTCTGCAGACCCCTGGAGAGCCACAATGTCATCACAGAAAGTCTGTGAAGGCTTGGAGAAATGTTATGATTTAAATTTTGAGTTAAGTCTTCGTGGTCCGTGGCCACAAAAGGTATTTAAAGGGGGTCTGTGGTGAAGAAAAGTTTGAAAACCACTAGCTTACAATGTTCTTTATAAATCTTTATTTTGTTATAAGTTTTTATTTTGATATACCAGATATATAAAATAAAGCATATTAAAAGTATAAATTAAAAATATAGAATATAAAGGATGACTAAAGTAATGATAGCTATACGTTATATGGATAGTCTTCAACTTAAGATCACAACTGAGCCTAAAATATCTGTTGTTAAGCAAGACAGTTGTTAAGTGAGTTTTGCCCCATTTTACAACCTTTCTTGCCAGCGTTGTTAAGCAGTTGTTAGTAACACAGTTGTTAAGTGAATCTGGCTTCCCCATTGACTTTGCTTGTCAAAAAGTCTCAAAAAATGATCACATGATCCTGGGACACTGCAACCATCTTAAATACATGCCAGTTTCCAAGCATCTGAATGCTGATCATGTGATCATGGGGATGCTGCAATGGTGGTATGTGTGAAAAACAGTCATAAGTCACTTTTTTCACTGTTGCTCTAACTTAGAATGGTCACTAAATAAATGCTTGTAAATTGAGGACTCCTGTACCTCTCATCTCACATGGAATACACAGGATCAGTTCCTAGTACACATGAGCAGGAGGACTTTATTGTTATATCTTACTTGTGGACTTCCTGACTTACTGGGATGTATAAGCACTTGGTATGATGCAGCCTTATTCTTCTATATGCAACATGAAAGGATCCTTTATCCTAAAAACATGAGTTATAACACTTGCTTATACTGTAAATAAAAGTTTGGCTTTTTTAAGGCACATCAATAGCTGCCATTATATTGAGCTTGAAAAAAAGCAGATTTATTAAAATATGATGATAATTTTGCAAAGAAAAACAATGGGAAAAAATCTTTCAATGAAAAGAGTGGTTCTCAAAACAAACTATAACAGAAATGTGGTTTGTCTAATGTGGGAACTTCCTTTCTTTCTGACTCCCATATTCATCTAGAGTATTTCCATTCTCTCCATTCCCACAAGGGAGAATCTAGCAATGAAAGGGAAATGAAAAACCAGGATATTTTGAATACACCATTTATTTATTTATTTGTTTGTTTGTTCGTTCGTTCATTCATTCATTCATGAAAGTTGACAAGATGCCTTTGGACCAACCAATCTCCCGCAAACAATATTAGTTTAGTATTAGTGTTATTTTAGGTTTAGATTTTAGGTTTAGGTTTAGTTTATAGGTCTCCAGACTCCCAAACAACTCTGGGAAATTAAAATTAAAAATGTAGCAAACCAGAAGCAAAAACACAACATAACAAAAGAGTGACTCCACAATCACAGTGTCTCAAAAATCTGAAAAAACAATCAGGTCTGATTGACATAAGATTGGAAGTTACACAAATCTTGGGAAGAGAAGGAGCAAAGGTTATTCCAGGAGACAAGAATTGACATTCTTTAGATAGGATTCAGAATGGACGCACTCAGCTCAAATTTTCCGCATGGGGCAAAGGCAACTGGAGATAAATCATCCTTCAGACAGCTAAGTCTTTTGCCATGAAAGCCTTTGTAGATGAAAATCAGCATCTTTAATTGTACCCAGAAGTCAGGCACCAAAGTAACTCATTAAACAGTGAGGTCACATGCCATCACTGTCTGCACCACTGTATTCTGGAGCATATCCATATTGTCTTCAAGAGCAGCCCCATGTAGAGCATGGTGCAATGCTCCCGTCATCATCACTGAGAGCTTTGCAACTGGATTTGGCATTTATGCAAAAGTAGAGATGACTATAGTGAACAGTATACAGAGATACATATACATGCACATGCACCCATGTCTCAGCTATAACTATTCTCATTTTTATAAATTTTTACCCATTCAAAAATATATATTTCTTAAGGACTACAATCTAAAGCAGCAGTCTCCAACCTTTTCTGCTTTTCGGCCCGACAGCAGGGTGGGGGGGAGAGAAAGGGGATGGTTCAGCATAAATGGTGCATGCGTGTGTCACTTGTGCGAGTGGAGCTGTACGTGCATGCCTGCTACTTATGCAGCCCGGTTCTAAATGAGCCACAGCCCAATACCAGGCCACAGCCCAGGGGTTGGGGACCTCTGATCTAAAGTACTAAAGATTAGTAATCTAAAAAGGTGAAAAAGAAGTTAGCTGAAATGGAGATTACACTGCCACACCAATAGCAATAGATAATACAGATGGATGAGGGCCCATAGATTGCTGCAATGGGTTAGTTGTTCTGTCTCTACCATTTCTCATGATTTCAAGCTCTGATTGATTAATTTTCAAAGTATATTAACCACCAGCCATTCCCTTAAGTACATTAAATTGTCATTTTAAAGTCTAAAAAGAAAACATTGAAGAAAAGGCTTCACTGGAATTTAAATGTGAGGTTTACAGACTTTATTCCCTTGCTGAATTCTACTTGCTCTTGCAGAAAAATGGAAAGCAAAAACTAAGATAGCCAAATACATTTCTTTAGAAGCACTGGTTTAGCACCATAAGCAATGACCCAATGAAGTGTTAATATTTTACCTTGGGCAACAACCCAATTTTCCTTTGTTAGTTTAGGACAGGGGCCTTATATGGAACACATTGCATAGTTTCAACTAAAGGAGCTGCATTTTTTTCACACCTGCCAGACACTTCACCTTCGACTTTGGGAGTGCAGTCGGGAAGCCCATTTTTCCATGCTTGTGACTGTAAACAAATAGTGCATGGCAGGCATCCAAGTGTTACAAGGGGGAATGGCCGGAATTGTAATAAACAAGACCTTAGTTCAGAAAAAGAATGGGAATTAAATATTCAGACTACCATAAAAAAGTCTGGCTGGTTTATAGCAAGGCCAGTATGATAAAAGCTGTACTTTTGCCCCTGAAAATGCATGCAGTGTATAATTATTTATACTGTAAAAAATGTAAGGAATTTTATAGATGAGGATGTTATAAGCATTTCAAAGTAGTGTGACTGTGGAAAAGAATCCAGTGAATAGTTTGGCTTAATTCAGCATGTAGAGGAAAAATAGCAATAGCTATAACTCCTTGGGAAGAGCAGACACTGGGAACATTACAGCATGTATGTTCATGTATGGAAGCTACTTTATTGGTCTTACTTTCTTCGGAGCTTTCTAAAGCATTCCTGGGTGTTCACATATAGTGATTTAGGTAGCAAATCTGACACTCCTACCATGCTTCCCCTCCAAAAGACCCGGTCTTATTTATTTATTTTGCCTCCAAAAGAAGCGCCAGGTCTTATTTTGGGGGGTGTCTTTTCCACTGTCTCACCTCACAGCGGCACTGACAGCCTCACCCAGCTGGCCCACTTCTTCTGCGTCTGAAGGAAATGCCTCTGCAGCTGAGAATGGAACTCCAGCCTGCATTTCGCTGTCAGAGGCCTTCCAGTAGGGCCTCTTCAGCCAAGAACTGAGCTACGGATTGAATACATAGTTTAGTTCTCAGCTGCAGGACCTTTCCAGAAGGCCCCTGATGGTGAAATGCAGGTTGGGAGGTGCCGCAGAAGTGGGCCAGCGAGGCGAGGCAGATGTCAATTCATGGGAGGTCTGGCTGCAATGGTAAGCAGGTGTGGGGTGCCTGGGGCACCCATTGGGGAAAATTGATTTGCTTAACAACTATGGCGTTCCCTTAACAGCCATGGTATTCACTCATTGACTACCACAGAAAATGATGAAAAATCAAGTCCAACCATGTAATATCTAAAATTATGATGACAATGTCTTATGATTGTAATTCCAGGCTCAATTACAGACATAAGTCAAAGACTATTTGTAATAGTTATGCTAGTATGATGGGTTTTGTTTTGGGGTTTTTTTTTTTTTGATAGCTAAATACTTATTGCCTACACGAATTTGCAGAAAATTCCCAGGCTTTCAGATGGCAGTTTGTGGAATATATTGTGTTAATAGATAACACCTTCTCAGGGAGAGGAGCGGTAAGAGTATTTTTCTTCCCCTTTTGATTTGAAGAAAGAAATCATAATTTCATTCACACATTTCCACATACCTAGGTGTGATAGTGGGAGAAAGAATTTTCCACCTTTCTGTGTACAAACACATAGGAAAAAAAGTGCTGCCTTTGTGACAATAATAGAGAAGCACCTTGCGTTAAAGATCTGAGCCATGTGCACAGCTTCTATTAAACCCAGCACTTGGATAACATGATTAATGTGCTCTCTCTCTCTCTCTCTCTCTCTCTCTCTCTCTCTCTCTCTCTCTTTGTGATTTCAGCAAGAGAAGTCGTCTTTCTGTAATGGCTTCAGCATGCAGTGGTAACAAGGGACAGAAAAAGGCTAAGTGAGCATCTTATTTGTCAAAGGTAAATTATTCAGAAGGCAGTCCAAATGGAGATTGCTGGAGAACTAATGGCATGGAGGATTTCATCTCACCCTCTCCAGTTCGGAGCAGGCTTTTCAGGAATTCACTGATGTGGAATCAGCTTTGAACACTGCAGCCAAGAAGTAACATTCTGCCATCCAGCTTGTGTCTGTGGAACAGCATCCCCAGCAGCCTTCCCTTTAGTAGTCACATGCAGAACCATAGGCACAGGCATGGTAGTGTGTGCAGGTCCCTGTCAAGCTCTTTTAAGGGGACCGTTTCTCTAGGGCTGCTGCAGAGGAGCAGTTATGGTCTTGTTATGTGTGGATGCTGCTGTGCTTTCCCTGAACGTGAATTGGGCACTAAAGTGCATCATGCAGTTCTCATGTGACACTGACTCTCTGGCAGTTTGAAACCAGAGGTTGGGCGATTCCGCATTTCTGGACAGTTGCATTTCAGCAACATAAGGCGGTCACAATCCCAAATGACAGAAATAAAAAAAGTTTTATTTATTAGTGGCTTGATTTTGCAATGGTTTTGCTTTAATCCTCCGTTTTGGAGGGGATATGGGGGGGGCACTCCTGCTCTTCCTGCAGGATTTGAGCCATGCTGTTGGGAAGGAGCGATTTCGTCTTCTCTCAGAGTGATGACGCTGCACCACTTTTGGCATATCCTGCTTCCCCCATTTACCTGGGTGGCTGTTGCTGCTGCTGCTGGGGTTGCTGCTGCCTGCCTGCCTGCCTGCTTGCATTTCAGCCCGGCTTGTTTCAGGAGAGCATCACTCATCAGCACGCAAAGGGAAAGACATGATGAAATCTGGGCACTGCATTCTGTTATTGCTGCTGGAGGCGAAGAAATGGGGGATGCAAGGTTTACTTTTCCCCCTCCCTGAATGGTGAAAATGCGAGTTAAAGGTTTCGGGAGCAAACATTTAAAGAAATGCTATGCCAGCTAATCCGGTACATATAGGGAGGGCATTGGCAGCAATGCAGCATGGATGGAACAGTATGCGTCCAGAGGAAGAATTCAACCACTGCTATTTGGATTATTATGGGGAAAGCCGTGGTGATGCAGTTTCACCTCAGAGGAGAGCTGTGCTGAAGATGGATAAATGAAGTTCCTTGTATGTGTGCCTGTCAGAGCACAGCCATGGGAGAAAAGGAGTGAAAGCCAGCAAGTGGCAGGAAAGAAGGAGAGCTGCATGCCGTCTGATTGTCCTCTTTGGTGTCTGCTTATTCCAGCAATGGTGATAGCATAATTTATGGAAATGTGCCTGGAGAGAGGGACTTGAAATTGTAGACTGAACACTCCCTAATGCTGTTACAGAGGAAACGAAAGGTGTATGTGGCTGCAAAGACACAAACGCCTTGTGGAGGAAAAGAGAAGTGTGCAGTCTCAATGTATGTCTGTATTTGTACATTGTGAATTGAGCTTTCTGATTTGGGAATGCTTGAGAGATATTCTGGCTGCTGGGAGAACCTTGGCTAAGGGGTCTATGTTCAGTTGCCTTCGGTATACATGTTTTTCAAGAAATAGGAGTTGCGAGACATTTCTGCACACAAGATTCTGTAGAGTCTCTCTCCCTCTCCCTCTCCCTCTCTCTCTCTCTCTCTCTCCCCCTCTCTCTCTCTCTCTCTCTCTCTGTGTGTGTCTTACATCTCTAAGTCTTGAATTTTCTGTATGATCTAGGGAGGGATGTTGGGCTTTGCCCCCCCTCCCAATCTTTAAACTCTTTATAAACACAGCTGTACTTAGTCTAGTAAAAAGGAAAACGTACTGTAAATATAAGTGTGGTCAGTCTAATCAAAATAAATTATCCCAGATGACTTTTGTAGCCCAGCTGGCAACTGGGCTTAGTATTCAACTGAGATGAAATCAGTAATGTATTTACATTTTTAATGCATTTCAAAGTCAGCCTGTAATTTGTTTTAAAGGGAGGGAGAATTCCACTGAAAAAAAGCACAGTGCTCAGTTTTGGCAAGAGTGCTGTAGTCTACAGTGTATACTGCTAAGTTTTATTTCTGGTGTAGCATAGTAGTGGTGAAATGGACTAATATCTCTCTCTCTCTCTCTCTCTCTCTCTCTCTCTCTCTCTCTCTCTCTCTCTCTCTCTCTCTCTCTCTCTCTGTGTGTGTGTGTGTGTGTGTGTGTGTGTATACATATGTGTATATGTATATGTTACAGCTCCTGCCAGGTCATTCAGGAAGACATACCTGTGATAATGGCCCAAATTAAATGAAAGAAACTCAGGCTAGAAACTTCATCTAGAAGCTCAGCTAAATAGGGGAAGCTTGGCAGAAATGTCAGTAGCTGCCTCTTTGGCATATGCACGCATGCACAGCTGTGTTTTTAAATCCAGCAGCCCTAAGTTGTTCTGAAGGTGTCACCTCCAGCAAGATTTCTCTGTAGCCATGTAAGCCATTCTGGAATGAGTTTGCCTGTCCTTTGTATGATTTGTTACTGCAGAAATCATTTTCTGCTCCATTGTAGTTTAGTCAGTAGTTGAATTGCTTTCTGCTCTTAGAGGAAGAAAGATAATTAGAAAAATATATTTTTCTCTGCAGCCTTCCTAGGCTTCTACTCAGCCTTGGGCATTTTAAAGGAAGATGTGCGGGTGGGGAAGGGAAGCAAGAAGGAGGGACACTTGTAATTCATATGGAGCTGCACAGACCAGCAGAATGTCAGCAGCTTGTAATTAGCAGTCCGGTGGTTACATCAGTGACTGTATTTTTCCAATAATAACTATGATGTATCCCACACAATGAGGAAGATAGGCATAACCTGGTTATCAAGCTTGGTTTAAACAAGGGCAAATGGATTAATGAATGTGTTTTGTTATAAAATTCAAAATGGACAGTTCTGCAGTTGTGTGTGAAGTTATCCAGAGAGGCTGGAGAAATGTGGGTGGAAATGTGCATACCTGATTAAGTACAGACTGGTCACTTCTAACTAATAACATTGCCTTATAAACCTGGCTGGTCTAGCTCACCCAGGTAGTTGGATGTCACGAATGTATCACAACTGAAAAAATAAATACAAAGGGTGCTGTTTAAACTGAAAAGAAACCAAAAAGACTGAATTGCCTTACAAGTTTACTGTTTTGAACTTGACTGCAGTTTAGGTATGCTCTTTGGTATGTGATTTGACTTCCAATCAGTCTTTTCTATTTCTCCAAAGAGAGGAAGAAGGTCAGATTTGTGAATTGCAGCAAAGCACTTTAAATCCACAGCAAATCCTGCAAAGATTTCTTGGGAACACTGCAAGATTGGAGCTTTACAAGGATGTTAACTGTACTATTTTAGACCCGCATTTGCAGTCCTGCAGCAGGCAGGCAATGAGTGATGAGGATGTAGGAGGTGCTTAATTTGCAATTGGACTTTCATGCGTCTCTTTCTGATTTTCCTGTGCAAGCCTTTGCAATGTGTGGTTTGTGTTTCACTCCTGTTCTGGGCTGCCCAAATTGCTCTGAGCCTCTTCTAGTTTCCCAGATTCCCTGCAAAAAGTCAGACTCAGTTCAGCTCTTTGTTTATTTAGCTCTCCTTAATAATATGCTTAAAATAAACTGCATTGTGCAAACATGTGTATTTTAGGCTGGGAACGTTCACATTTCTTGGGGGAAGAAGGCTGTGTGTTGCATGCAAGCAATTACTTGATTGTCTCAGGCAGGGCAGTTTTAAAGAGCCTTTCATTATTTGAAGAGTTACAAAAAACCCACATTTTCCACTCCTGCCTTTTGGATTTGGGCCTGCCTGACTCCAGGATACTGTTATTTTGTGCATCCAACTGCGTAGAAAGATTTCATTGGGTTTGTGTATGCAAGCCCGAGCAGCTGGCCATTAATGTCGAATCCATTGCCCGAGCAAAATGGAAGTGGACGTGAAGGGCTGCGTGATTAATGCTAGCCTGCAAAGGCTGTTCCATCTCAGACCCAGGCTTGCAGTAAAATAATGCAGGAGCCTGATTTGATGGCTCTTTAACAGGGTAGTATGTCATTGTGTCGCCAAGCAATTGAGGTTATTATGGGGCAGGGCTGACAGACGGGACAGTGGGGTTACTAGACCGTGGCATTTTTAGAAATACAGGCCTGACCTACTTTGAGTGATCCTGGCTGCCAGCTGCATGGTGCATGGAGCCTCCTGATTGGCTGTCACTGTTGCTAAGGGGAATTAGCATGAATTTTTCCACATGCATTCTCTGTGATTGAATGATAAAAGCTGACTGGAATTAAAGCGATTCAGTTCAGCTTTATGTAGATTAATCTTTCATTTTTCTCTTTCTGGAGACACAGAAGAGGCGAGGGAAGGCAGAAGAACTCTAGCTTGGTTTTTAATTTGTTTTTTCCAGACAGGGCAGGGCAGAAGCCTAGTTCATGAAATATTGGAGAAGGAAAGTGTTCTTTAAAGAGCCAAGAATATTGAAGGATAACTGGTTGTGATGATATTTCACTTTGGCCTGTTTTGAAACTAGCATGGGAACTCCTGCTCCCCCTTCTTGTCTTTGCTTTAAAGGAGAGCAAGGGAATGGGCTACGTAGGCATGGTAGATACAAACCTGATTTGTCTTTTTAAGAAACGAAGGCAGAATGGAATACAGGTAGTCCTTGATGTACAACCATTTGTTTCGTGGCCATTCAAAGTTACAACGGCACTGAAAAACATGACTTAAGACCGTTGCAGCATCCCTGTGGTCATGTGATTAAAATTCAGACACTGTGATGTGATCACCTTTTGCAACCTTCTGACAAGCAAAGTCAATGGGGAAGCCAAATTCACTTAACAAATGTGTTACTAACAAGAGCTGTTACTTAACAACTGTGGCAAGAAAGGTAATAAAATGGGGCAAAATGTATTTATGAACTATCTCACTGAGCAACAGACATTTTGGGCTCCATTGTGGTCATAGGTCAAGGACTGACTATCACATTTTGGAAGGAAGCTATTTTTATCTCTGTTTTTGTTACAGGCTGTCATTGAGAGTCATTTTTGCTGGTAAGCAGGCATAA